TTGTTTCTTGCCATGTCAGAAAACGATTTGCAAGAACTGAAAGGGAAAAAAGTTTGGGAGAGCCATAATAGGTGGAGAGTTAAGGACGGAGAAATTGTAGAACGTAAAATGCTTCAAAACGGCTTGTTTGCTTCTGAAACTTGTGTGGTCGAACTCAAGCTTTTCTACTCTCTAGCGGAACCTTGTTTTCTGCGGTAATCTCGCTTTACAGAGATGGAAGATGCGAGATACAACAATGCCTGTCAAAACAAGTATTTTAATATACAAATGTGGAATAAATTTCTTCTCGGCACTTAGTTTATATATATTATTTTTTCTTGTTAAGTGATTTAACAATTTACCATGGGGATTACGAAGTCGACCACTAGGTTAGAATTGAAAGCCTAACTATAGTAGATTTTGACAATTTTAATTTCCGTATTCCCTATGCTCAATTACTTTCTGTGCATCTTTACTCATTTTATGTACCAGATACAAAAAGTCAGTGATTGATATTTGCTTTGAAACGAGTGTAGTTTTCTAAAAAAGCGACAGAAGTTTTGGAGCAATCAATCGCAGTTTGAAATCGATTAAGTGGCATCAGTGAACTGATTTTTGGATTAGCAACAGAAGGATATTGCATTCACACCTAGGAAAGTATTATGGTTCAAAAAATTTTGGCTTTTTATCAGTTTTCAATAATAACTTAATGTCTGACAGTAGAACAATAAGCTGCTTATTAAGGTCTTCAGTTAAACAACAAGGCGTTGATACTGCATCACAAAAAACATTGAATTATTTTGGCCTAATTTGAGCTAATTTTTCTCAACAGGTTTAAAGCAGACAAGCTAAATTTATCTGTAAAGCTAATTAATAGAGCAACATTTATTGATTATAGCGCAAAAGAAGTTCAGTTTTGTAGCATTTATTCTATACGATTTGTTGTAATAAAATTATGACTTTTAACGTTGGTTAAGTATTTATCCTGGACTTAAGAACTGTAAGCGATAGATTATAATCGTGTTAGAACAGAATAAAAATTGTTGTATATTCAAATTTACTCTTCTACTTCCTTGATGTATGATGGGCGATAACAAAAACCAAGTTAGTCAGTATTGCTTACAACAACAAATCTAAAATCAGTTAACAAACAATGCCACTTTGGATACAGGTAATCAAAAGCTCCACTTGGAAAGTTCCATTGAGTCAGACTGTCGTTGACGGAGTGGCAGACCCGATTTTCTGTTTTATCTCTACTTTAGTTTTTACGTATATCCAAGAGAAAAAAATATTCAACAGTGTTTGCATCGATCATAACGTCATCAAACGGACAACAGACTTTTCATACTTCTTTTTTCGTGAGGGAGAGGAGGGCGCCAGTTAACATAATGCTGTGTGATGACTACCTGTGGATACTCCTTTCCTGTTATTTTTTATAGTTTTTGGTGTTATTTTTTTTTTTTTTTGAATTAAATATTTCTTGGCGTCTGAATGCCAGTTTAACTATGAAAATGTGAAAAAAAAATCTTACTATACTTTTTCCCTGATATATTTTTTAATATAAAAACAAAAGATGGTAAAGTTTCTTTCAATTATTTATTTTTTTACTATTTATATGCTATTTTAATGTGTACATTCATAAACCATATGTGAAATAATCGCTGTAGTCGCTGTATCGGTCTGGTGATTATTTACAGAAATGAGTAATCTTTCCGTTCACTTTCCACAAACAGTTATTATTTCGACTTTTAGTACAAATTAAAAAAAAATATGTGTTTTTCTCTTTTTTTTTTCTTTGGTTCTTCGTTCATCAATTATCAGACGTGAAACATCTGTTTATTTCAGTATATATCGTGGACGTTTAATTTACTAATATTTGTAAAATTTTAAGCTGACAAAGATATGGGAAAAAAAAACTTTTTTGT